GTCGCGCCAGCGCGAGCCCGGAGCAGCCCCGGAAACGCGTTAGCGCCGCGGGCGGTACGCTCCAGCTTGCTGGAAAGAAACTTGGGGACATCTGTGAAGACAGCACTAGGAAGGACCTGAAGAGAAGCAGTAAAGGAGGTGAAAGCAGCTCGCTCTGTTCTGGAAGAGAGTTTCTCCAAGGAGGTCTTAAATTCAGCAGAGTATCGGAAAAAGATCAAGATCGAATATTGTAGTTGGATGTAGGAAGAAAAAGGTAATGAAACTTAAAACTCAAAGTTTCATGGAGCTACAAGAGGAAAACGGAGCCACCTGAAGCGTCGCCGGAGACCTGGGAGCTAGGGACAGCCCTGGGAGGAGGACGCAGCATCCGCGAGGGGCTGCCTTTTTAAAATTTTTCTCCTCAAGGGAAGTTGCCATAGCCTTTTTGGTGGCAGAGAGAGGAAAAAGCCAGGTGAGAAAAAGACTTTGAAAACAGGAGAGGAGGTAGAATGGTGGATTAGGTCATCTGGAGAAGGAAGGCGAAGATATCCAATATGCAGGCCTTGTTTGGTCTCTTTGATTTGTGAGTTACCTGCTTTGTATTCCTGGCTTGAGCCATTGGGCCTAAAAACGCACAGGACCTGGATATTTTAACTGTCAGGAGGTTGGACTCGCAGTAGAGCGATTGTATTAATAGGAAGACCTAAAGGCAGGAATGCTGTGACTCAATTAGGAGAAGGTGAAAGGCTGGAAGGAGCATTTATTCATTGGACAAACTTTTGGTGAGCATTGACTGCTAGATATTTTTCTAGGTCTGATGATGCAGAAGCGAACAAAATAAACAAAAATAACAGCTTTCCTAAGGCTGTCATTCTTTTATTAGGAGGAGGAGAGCAAGACAATAAATATAATAAATAAGTAAATTAGACTGCATATTAGGAGGTAATTAAGTGTTGTGGGAATAAATTTTTAAAAGGCAGGGTAAGGAGATCAGGGTATGTCCCCTTGAGAGGTGAAACAGTAAGTGTTTCATATAGAGAGGATTCAAAGTAAAGTCCTAGACAGGCATGAGCTTGGGGAGGCTTGAAACAACAAACCTAGTGTGGCTGGAGAAAAGCGAAGTAAGAGGTGAGGAAGCAGAAATAGGCTAAATCAGAAAAATAAGAGGGAGCTACAGGTGGTTTAAGGCAGTGATTTTCCAGTGTGGTCCCCAGACTTACAGCCTCAGCATAACCTGGAACTTGTTAAAAATACAGATTCTGAGACCCAACCTCAAACATACAAAATCAGAAACTCTGGGGGTGGGGTCAAGCAATCTGTTTTAAGAAGCCTGGGTGATTCTAATGCATGATAAAGTCTGAGAACCACTGTGGTGCTTTCCAGATAAGTGTTATTCTGGCTTGTCATTGCCCTTCACCCGGAGACCAGCAGGCACACACCCACATATAAACAACTTCGATTGAGCACTCCTTGAAGGAAGGGAGTAGATACTGTAGAGAACCATTGAGACAGCTGAGTAAGAGTGTTGAAAAGAACCTATTGCAGGATTTGGGCTTTGGGTGACTTGGAGGGGGGGGGTTAAGGAATCACAGCTCCACTTTGGATTGGGTGCTGTCAGAAAGGACAATTCTATGATTGGTTATCTCAGATATCTATAAGATGGGCAAACTAGAGTGACGATAGAGCTGCGATTGGTTTAAAAAAAGCATTGTTCACTAGTATTAGCAGAGAGAAGAGGATGTTTGGTATTTCATGGATTGTACAGTGACCTTGTTTTTGCTTTGACAGAAATTATGAAATGGCCTTGTTTTATTTCATTTTGTCGTGGTCTGAATGACCCATCTGATGTTGGTTTTCTGTGAGATTGTTATATCCACAGGAGAATCACATAGCTTAGCTGTGAGTGCCAGCAGGTCAGCTAACAACATTGAGACCAGCTGGGTCAGACCAGTTCCAATGTCAGGGGCTGCTTTTTTATTGATTGGCTTTTACTCTGAAAGAGGAAGCCACTGGAGGGTTTTGAACAGAGGAGTGACCTGATCTGACAGGTTGTATGAGTCATGTGACCAATGATGTCACAATGTCCTACTAGACTCCAACTTCTCCACTAGGGAGTTGGGGATCCCTTGGATCCAAGGACTGGAACTGACATGCCAGACCTCTACCAACTGAGGGTTTCATGAGCATACTCCTTTACCAAGGTCTTGGTGAAAAGTCTTTCACTGTGCAATTGTATCTTAGAAATTGTTTTATCATGATCGTGCTTGGCTGGATGCTTTTTGTTGGCCTTGCATGTTACATGGGCACATTTCCGGAGTTCATGGTAAGTAATGACCTGTAAGTCCCTGGTAGTCAGTCCTGGCTCTGGCTAATTCTCCCAGATGGGGGTTCTGACCAAATGGGAAAGGTAGTTGAGGTCTCACCACTAATTAGAAGCCAGGATATGGTGGGAACAAAGTTAGTTTCCCAGGCTACTTCCCATCCTATTGAGACATCTTTAAGTCCCCCCTACCCTTAGGTATATAATGTCACTTATTTCAAAACATTTTGGGATTTATAAGGGGCTTGCTGAAGATAGTGCCCAACTTCTGGATTTCAGGCCAAGTTGCTGATCAGGAGAGGGAATGTAGGCCTTGGAGGGGACTTTTAAGCAGCCCTTCTAGTAACATACAGAGGCAGTTACCTACTGCGGCAACGAGTAGAGCCATGTCTGCCTTTAAATTTCTTTCTGACCCAGCCTCCAACTCTGAGGTGGAAAGAGAAGTGGCCTGTTCAGGAGAGCAAGGCCCAACGGAGCAGTCAGGCTTTGGATGAAGATCTGCAACTGTGAGTGGTGATCAGGTCTGTTAAGCTGAATTCCTCCCTTTCCAGGGAACTTGGTAGAACCCTGAAATCTCAGTGGAGAGTTTATATTCCTCTGAAAAATCTAATAAACTGTAGAAGGGGAAATGATTGGGGAGGTAGATGGCTGGAATGTAAGCAGAGATCTCTGGACTTGATAGCCTCTCACACTCTTTCCACTAGACCAGCCTGCATTAACAACATGTCTTTTTGGCAAACCATCCCCTGGGTTTCTCATATCCCACCCCATTTCATTCAGACGTGTTTTTTCAAAGATGTTTCCGTAGTTAAAGAAACTTAACTCTGAGTCTTAGTAATGTACCAGCTACAGGAGCAAGTTTCCTGGGACGGTAACTCTGGAAGGCAAGGGTATCAAGTCCCAGCCCCAGATGCACTAAGAGCAAGGCATGATAGTGGTGCTTTTTCCCCCCTCAACCTGGCCCAGAATTCCTATGAAAGTATTGGTACAACACAGTCAGACC